ACGTTGCCTGGTCTGATCAGTCTCGATTTCTGCTGCCACATTCGGATGGTCGGGTCAGAATCTGGCGTCAACAACATGAAAGCATGGATCCATCCTGCCTTGCATCAACGGTTCAGGCTGCTAGTGGTGGTGAAATGGTTTAAGGGATGTTTTCTTGGCACACTTTGGGCCCGCTAGAACCAATTGAGCATCGTGTCAGCGCCACAGCCGAACTGAGTATTGTTGCTGACCATCTCTATCCCTTTATGACCACAGTGTGTCCATCTTCTGATGGCTACTTCCAGCAGGATAACACACCACATCACAACGCAAATCATCTCAGACTGGTTTCTTGAACATGACAATGAGTTCACTGTACTCAAATGGCCTCCAGTCACCAGCAACAGAGAACCTTTGGCATGTGGTGGAGCGGGAGATTAGCATCATAAATGTGCAGCCAACAGGAATATTTCCAGTACCTTGTTGAATCTATGCCATGAAGGATTAAGGCAGTTCTGAAGGCAAAAGAGGGTCCAACTCATCCTAGTAAGGTGTACCTAATAAAGTGGCCAAAGTGAATTGGTGCCATCATTCCTACAATTCACTTCAATTTGCTCTTCCCCCAATGACAGTCAGGTTTAGGGGCGGGGTTTGGTGCCACGCCTTCTTTTAAAAATCATACGTTTTTAATTGACTGAACCACTAATTTGACAAATCGTCGTTTCCTCGTGAGATGAGGCTGTAATATCATATGTTATCCATGGTTTCATCTTCAGACTTGTGATTAATTTAACTGTAAAACATATAACAGTATATGCTTCTAATTTTCAAAAAACAAATGCTGCCATTAAAAGGGACCTATTATGCATAAATGTATTTTATAAGAGGCTGTGTGGTAACAGTCTGTGAATATAGCCAGCCTCTACTGATAAAAATGTATAAACTCTATTTTTTAAAATCCCGTTTGATAAAAACAGTCTGCAGAAACCCTTTGATTGACATTCTCCCTTTGTGCGTGTCATCAGATAGAGAAAGCCCCGCCCACTAGTGATAATCTCTTCCTCATTAGCATAGACAGCCCTGAGTGGGAAGCAGCCGTCCGCCATTAGAGTTTTCACATGCTGAAGAAAACGTCAGCGACTATGTGGAGTTAAGAGATGCACAAGTGAACACCATTGTCCCCATAGACTACCTTCTTCTGAGACATCTGCTGCTATGCTGATGCATAGGCATTTGTAGCTCCGCCCTCTTTCAAAAAGAGCACAGAATTTAAAGCGACGGTCATCAAAATTCGGATCAAAGCCTAAAAGTTGACTTGGTGTATTTTGATCTGAAACTTCTCATACAGACTCTAGGAGACATCAAACACTTATTTTACATCTTGTTAAACATAATAGGTCCCCTTTAAGTTTGGTAAAGTGTCAACAGTCATGCTATGGGAGGTTTGTGTGTACAGATATGATAGCTGAGAGCAAAACAGGCAATGATGCATTGAGGAATTACTGAAGCGGGAGTTGAGATTGCCTATAAGAAACCTGGATGGGATGCAGTCATGACCTATTCCTCAGCCCTGAGGCCAAATACACTGCATGCACCATATTAATGCATATCAATTGTTGGTCTGTGATCACAGTATATCTGAAATGCTTCGATCCTTTGATATGCAAACAATAAAGGTTTCTGAGCTCAAACTTCAAGTAAATAAATGCAGTTTTTTTATTTTCAAGCAACGTTTATTGCCTCTGAATGCCGTCGGATCTCTGTCTCGCACACAAAAGCATGGCCCAGAGAGAAAAGACTCAACTTCCCATTACATAACACACACACACACACTCATCATGAGCCTTTTGAGGATGTTGTTCAAAAGCCCTCTGCGCGGTTCGCAACTATTTGATGTGCTGTCTCATTCGATGCTAAGCAAACTCAAAGCCGATTTAAATCTATGCACTAAATACTAGAAATTACGAGGCGCTCGGAAAGGGTTGTTAACGTGACGTTGCATTGTCACGGTCATACATGAATTTAGGAATATTATATTGTCACGTTAAGTTTTGTTGTCCTTTGATGTGACATCCCTAATTAATTGAAAATATCCAACAAGTCTGACAATTTAAGGAGAAAAAGAATATCACCCATAATTTCATGTAATATAAATAGCATTATATAAAGATAAGTGTCTAACAATGAAAATAAATCGCTCTAACGCCATTTGTGTATAACTAATAAGAGTAGTTTTTTTGTGCGTCACACCATTTTTAAGGTACAGTCCAGCAAAAATGTTTTAAAAAATAAATAAAAGTGTAACTGATAAAGTTAGTGACCCCTTACATTTTCTCAAACATCTTCAAACTACAGAAATCTATCACTTTTTTTGAGTAACACTTTACAATAAGGTTGTAGTAGTTAATGTATTTACTTACATGAACAAACAATCAACAGTACATTAATTACGGTATTTATTCATGTTTTTAACGCTAGATAATCAAAACACAGTTGTTCATTGTTAGTTCATGCATTAACAACAACCCCAAATCAGAAAAAGTTGGAACAAAAAACGAAAAAAAAGTATTAATGTCCATATTTATTTGAAATTTACTTAAAATGTACTTTTATTTTATTGCAGACAAAAACGAACACAAATTAGTTCATGTTTTGTCCGCTCCACTTCATTTCAGTTGTAAATATAGTTGTAAATATATATTGTAAATAAATATTTCCTGTCATTCAGACCTGCACCATTCCAAGTTACATCCACAAATGCCAGTTAAAACTGTACTGTGCCAAAAGGAAGCCCTATGCTAACAGTGTCCTGAAGCGCCGTTGACGTCTCTGGGCTTGGAGGCATCTGGGATGGACCGCAACACACTGGAAATGTGTACTGTGGTCAGATTTATCAGAATTTCAGGGTCTTTGGGGGGGGTGGACACTGTGTGCTCCAGACCAAATAAGAAAAGGATCAAAGGATCATACAGACTGTTACCAGCAACAAGTACAAAATCCAGGGTCTGTCATTAGAGCCCGAGCCGTCTTGACATTTTTTATGCCTAAGGGCAGGGCTTTGAGCCAATTTTAACGTCATAGCTAGCACGCACATATTCAGGCCTCCTTCAGAAAAAGAAAAAAGTTTAATAAGATCTAATGTGTGCGGTCCGGAAGCACCAGTGATGACTTGCGTATAAAGAAATTCAGCCATGTTCAATGGAAAACATAAAGAGAAAAATTGATAATGGCACACTTAAAACTGTGAAAAACACTAGAGGAAAGGCAAACTTCCAGCCAACATTTCAAATAGTGACAACTTTAAATAAAAAGCCAACTGGTTATGCACAATGCACAACTTGTAAATTAAGTAAACTCACTGTGGACAACACACAGCTTGGATATCGATGTCACTTAAAAAACTAAAACTTACATTTAAAAAAACAAAACCAAACAACCTTAAACGTTTCTCTAAATTATTCTGATAGTAAAACAAAACGAAAAAAACAACCTCTTATTATATAATGGCTGTAACAGTATAAGCTGTTCTGTGGAGAAAAACAGCTTCGGGTTGGACTCTGTCCAAAAATTTTTAACAAAACAACGCAAAAACACATCCTGCACACATTACAAAGTCTCGGCTGGGAAGAAAGGGGATAGAGGTACTTGACTGGCCTGCCTGCATACCCGACCTGTCTCCAATGGAGAATGTGAATGTGCAAAATAAGACGACGAAGACCCTGTACTGTTGCCCACTTTAAGACTTGTTTGCAGAGAGAATGGCCCAAAATTACGCCTGAAACACGTCATCACTTGAAGTTTTCAGTCACTAAACGTCTTTTAAATGTTTTGAAAAGGAATGGCAACATTACAAAGTAGTAAACGCTTCACTATTACAGCTTTTTTTAAACGTGTTGCAAGAAAATTGGAACACATTTTTATCAAATAAAACTATAAAAACCATGATGAACACATTCAATAATGCTTGTTGTATTGTCTACAATGAAATGCAAGTCTTTCTTTGGTTGTTTGCGTTTTCCATACGGTCACAACTTTTTCTGATTTGGGGTTGCACTGTTAACAAGATTGCGATGCAGTGGCGCAGTAGGTAGTGCTGTCGCTTCACAGCAAAAAGGTCACAGGTTTGAGCCTCGGCTGTGTGGAGTTTGCATGTCCTCCCTGTGTTCGCGTGAGTTTGCTCCGGTTTCCCCCACAGTCCAAAGATAAGCGGTACAGGTGAATAGGGTAAGCTAAATTGTCTGTAGTGTATGAGCATGAATGAGTGTGTATGGATGGGTTTCCCAGATTTGGGTTGCAGCTGGAAGGGCATCCGCTGCCTCAAAACATGTGCTGGATAAGTTGGCGGTTCATTCCGCTGTGGCGATCCCGGATTAATAAAGGGACTAAGCCAAAAGGAAAATGAATGTTAACAAGACTGAATTTTAATTTTAGTAAGACATTAGTAAACTATGTTGAACTCTGATTAATAAACGCTGAACAAGAATTGTTCATAATCAGCTCATGTTAGTTATTACATGAAATAATGAATCCTTTTAGTAAAGTGTGACTGTTTTTGCTTCAAAAATCTTGTTTTACCCCCAAAAAAATAAAGCATATTTGTCGACTACCATGGTTTTAAGATCACATTTGGATCAAAGAGCAAACTCTCCAAACACAAGACGCAAAGTCTAAATCAATTTCTGAACGCAAGTGACAAACCCATCACGTTCCATTAATTGCACAACATGCTGGAATGTCTCTGCCATCTGTGTTGCTTTGCCATGCTGAAGCATCAATGCGTGTCTAATAATAGAGCTGCCGCCACATCCAGTCCAAGATTGGACAAACAATAGTTTTAACGCGAATAACCCATCAAAACACACACAACAAACATCCTGAGCTCCAACATGGTTCGAAAGCAACTATTATAGGCCTCATAAAATAAATCATTCCATAATACAATGTGAATATTATGTGTTGAATAATCAAAAGAGCTCTTTGCAAGAGTTGATGCAAGCTGTCAGTGATGTCAAGTCACTCACCGCCCCTGATGATGAGATGCTCTCCTCCGCTCAGCAGCAGTACAGATGAAGATGTGTGTGTGTGTGTGTGTGTGTGTGAGTGCCTCTTTCTCCAACACAGTGATGCAGGAATGATGCTTTAATACTGTCTTTAGGGAGAAGAAAAGCCAAACCCCCAACCCCCCTCCTATCTGACCGAGCATTGCGCTGCGATCCAATGAGAAAGAGCAGAATTCATTTACACAGCACATACCTGATGAAGATGATGATGATGATGATGACTGTTTTTTTTCTTAATTCACCCCCTCTGCCTGCTATCTTTCCTAAGGGATTATATAGTATAACAATAATTTTTATACATATAATCTGTACACATACATAGAAACAAAATGATTTAGCATAAATCCTATCAGTCAGTTTAATTCAAGTCTTTTTCTCTGTCCTAATCGCCGTCTTTTACCTCGGCTCATTCATTTTCAAAAAGGTCACATTCGCCTCTGTGTGAGCGAAATGACCAATTATGCTGTAATTTGTTATAATTAGAAATACTGAGCAAAAATTATGGCTGTCAGTGAACATTGTGGGGCATTGTGTGATTCTGCTGCCCCCTTGTGATTACTTTTATAGTGAATCATCCTTACAAAGCATTTATCGTGGTGACCACTGATAGACTAGAACAGGCATGTCCAAACTCGGTCCTGTAAGGCTGGTGTTCTGCAAAGTTTAGTTCCAACGCCAATCAGACCCACCTGGGCTAGCTAATCAAGCTCTTTCTAGGCCAGGGGTCACCATACTTGGTCCTGGAGGGCCGGTGACTCCAGGGTTTAGCTCCAACTTGCCTCAACACACCTGCCTGAATGTTTCAAGTATACCTAGTAAGACCTTGATTAGCTTGTTCAGGTGTGTTTGATTAGGGTTGGAGCTAAAATCTGCAGGACACCGGCCCTCCAGGAACAAGTTTAGTGACCACTGTTCTAGGCTTTCTAGATTCTAGAAACATCCTTGCTGGTGTGTTGAGGCAAGTTGGAGCTAAAATCTGCAGGACACCGGCCCTCCAGGACTGAGTTTGGGCACCCTTGGACTAACACCACTTGAAAGTACACTAGAGTACAGTAAAAAGTAGGCAGTTTCGGGTCTAATTAGTTAAAATATAACTCTTAACTCGACTCTAAACCCTCATTTAATTACAGTTACTTATAATTTACCTGGTCTTAAATACTGTATATAAATGTAACAGTTCTGTATAAATAAACTCAGCAGATTAATTGTATTTTTTGTGATACAAATGTACACTGCCTGACAAAAGTCTTGTCGTCGATCCCAGTTGTAAGAGCAACAAATAATAACTTGACTAGTTTATTAGTTTACTAGATTAGATCACTTGGAAAAGTGGCAGAATGTAGATTTTTCAGATGAATCATCTGCTGAACTGCATCCCAATCGCCACAAATACTGCAGAAGACCTACTGGAACCCGCATGGACCCAAGATTCTTACAGAAATCAATCAAGTTTGGTGAAGGAAAAATCATGGTTTGGGGTTACATTCAGTGTGGGGGCGTGCGAGAGATCTGCAGAGTGGATGATCAACATCAACAGCCTGAGGTATCAAGACATTTGTGCTGCCCATTACATTACAAACCACAGGAGAGGGCAAATACTTCAGCAGGATTTAACTCCTTCTCATACAAGTTACTAAAAGCAAAGGTCAAGGTGCTTCAGGATTGGCCAGCCCAGTCACCAGAAATAAACATTATTGAGCATGTCTGGGGTAAAACGAAGGAGGAGGCTTTGAAGATGAATCTAAAGGATCTTGATGAACTCTGGGAGTCCTGCAGGAACGCTTTCTTTGCCATTCCAGATGACTTTATTAATCAGTGATTTGAGTCAGTGCAGAGATGTATGGATGCAGTCCTCCAAGCTCATGATGGAGTCAGACACAATATTCATTCTGTCTCCACTGCAGCAGGACTTTATATTCTATACTGGACATTATTTCTGTTAAGTGACAAGACTTTTTTTCAATAAGCAAAGTCAGACCTTACTGCCCTAATGAAATAATTAAGAATCAAGGCATGATCATATTTTATTTTGATCAAATAAGCGTAATCTAGAAGCCTTTGCCTTTAATATAAGCCACTTCTGATACCAAATGATCAACTAGAAGTCGAGTTATTATTTGTTATTCCTAAAACTTGAATAGGCGACAAGACTTTTGACAGGTAGTGTAGTAATGTTCAACTTAATTTGTTTGTTTTCAATTTAGCCCATATTAATTGTACGCAACCACTTACCTTAAAAAATCGAATTAATTAAAATCTATTTATTTATAAAATCAATTAATCAATAAAACCTTGAATACAAATAAAATCTACTTTTTGAAATAAAGCAGAAAATACAGAAGTTCATTAAGAATAGACTTAACCCTTATGTACTGTCTGGGATTTTTTCATCCACTGTGGGGTGATTTTAAGTCTTAATTTGACCATTTGACCAAAATAACAAAAGGCTAGTAAATTTGAACAGCGCACAAGGGTTAAACACAATGAAAGCATAAATAGTATTGCACATATTTCCAAATTCGAAAAGTGTGATCACAGGCGAGGGCTGTTGCTTGAAAACATGCCCACCGTGATTCAGTTTCCTCTCGACGCGAGTCCGGCCGTAATACTTTGGGGACGGGATTCATTCAGATGCTGGTCTCAGGTCAGAGATCCTGCTGTCCAGGGTCAAATGAAATGAAAGTGGAAGATGAGAGTGAGCAGAATGAGAAAATGCTTCACACGAGCAAAGAGCGTCTCGAGAGACACAGGAGACCGCTATCATCAGCCTTACATCGCTTTAGAGACAGAGAATGAATATGAAAGAAAAAAATGCGTGGCAGAGTGATAAAAATGACTATATACAACTCTTGATTTTATTGTTTTGACTAATTGCAATATTTTTCTTACCATTTTCTGAAAAATTGAAATTATTATTAATGTCATTCGTTTCTTTTGTTGTAAGTTACTGAGGTTTATTTCAGTATGCTAACATACTTCCAATTCTAAACATTTCACTGATTGCTTGCCTGTATTTCCTATACATTTATTGAATGTTATACTTTTATAATGGCCATTATTGATTATTAAAGGTTCACGAAACCCTTGAGTACTTTTTGTATTTTTAGATTTTAACAGATTTGTGTGTGTTGAGCATCAGTTAGGACAATGTTAGCACCAACTTTAATTTGTGGGGAAAGCTGGATAATTTTGAGCTTTTGTTAGCTAAATTCAGCTTCCGGGTTTAAAACGATTTTTGGGGCGGGATCAAAATCGGTGACGTAGAGCAAAACTGCAAGTGCGAAGATGACGCGTCGGTTTCTCATTATTATTCATAGCGGAGTTTTCTTATCCTATGAGAAGAGCCGGCTTCTTAAATTTTCATGAGAGCACGTGCTTTCCGAAGACAAAGCAGACCTGGCTGCCAGCGCCAAGCTCAGCTCTGAAATCTTAAGTTGATGACTGGGTGAGACGTGTCCGCAGACCCACGGCACACAGTATTTAGTCGTTCATGAAGGGTCGTATGTGTTTGTTTCTATGATCCACGGGGTTTGTTGCATGTGTTTCCCCGCGACCCTGTTAGGGCCAATACATCAAAGTTGTGTGTGCTGCAAGCATTTTAGTCGCCAGAGCAGTACGAGAATTGGAGAACGGCGGACGTTGTCTTTTATTAGGAGTTCATTCATATGTAGACACATCGTCGTGCTGCTGTGTTTGCCTAAATCCTCTAGATTACCTGCAGGGCTACTGGTTAAAATAGACAGGGCTAGAGTCTGCATTCAGCCCCGGGGATTGAGGGAAAAGTCCTCATTTAGTGTTTATATAAACATGATTATCTTTATAATGATATAAATTGTGGTTATGTGTATATGAAATTACAAATGTAACAGGGCATTAAATTACTGTTAATTTCTTTGCATTTTAACTTTGTAAACTATAAAATCATGGGATTTTGTGAACCGACTGACATCAGTTGTTCGCTCCCCTCCTTCTCCCCTGCTCTGCTAGCCACGCCCAATCCTGCCCTTTGCTCGCGGAGCTCCACGCCCATTATGATGCATCTTTTGAAAATATTCTGAGGTGCACCTGAGCCGAAAGTGGGGTGTGTCATGACCCTTTAAAACTGATATTCAGCAAAAAAGAGGGTAGGTTTCATATTTTCAATGAGAATGAAAGGAGACAGTTGTGTTATAGGCGCCGTTTTGTTATAAATATGCATACAGTGACGATGATACTCATATGTAGTTACACGACGCCTCAAGATTTTTGGTCCGTCAAAATCTAAATATCAAAATTAAAATAAGCAGTTCCTTATATCATGTTTTAATTTTATTGTTAAGAAAGTGAAACAATGTAGCAAGGGTGCCTGTGCCCTTTGAAAATTTACCCGATGTGTCCTCGGGAGTTTGTTTTTTATGATATGGGTAGCAACTGAAATCTGCAGGAAGGTGGATCTCCAGGAACAGGGTTGGCCACCCCTGCTCTAGTTGTATGATAGGGCTTAACTCAGAGAATGAGCGAAAAATCTGACGTTGCTGTTACTTGCTTTAGAATTTGGTTCAACAGTCAACAGAGGTTTTTATCTATGTGATGTACATTTTTAAGTCTGATTTATGTTTTGTCACATTGTTATCAGTTACTTCAATGCTATCTCAGGGCAATTCATAACTTTATTCGTGGTTTAGTGGCTAAATTGTAGGAATTTGTACGATCTCATTCCTATAATTTAGTACGATTTGCTCATCCCCCAATGGCGGTTGGGTTAGTTGCGGGGTTTGGTGCCACACCTCTTTTAAAGTGTAGATTTTCATAGGAGTTCAGCAATTCATATGCCACTAAACCGACAAAGCATAAAACAGGTACATCTCCTTATGAGATCAGGCTGGTTTTTTACTTTATGTTGGAACATACCTGTATACAGCACATTAGTTAATGCCATAAATGTTCTTTACAAAAGAACAGACAAATATAATACATCTACCTATAGAATCTCTCTTTCGTCCCTGATCTGGTCGTGAATCCTCAAATGCTCTTTAAGCAGCCGCTCTTCATTATCAAACACAGGGCTGCATCTCTGGATGGACAGCAGGTTAACCTTTTCCTGTTTTATC